CCGTTCGCGGTCGTGGTCTGCATCCAGAGTCAGGGATCCTACCTTTGTCAGGTATCGACTCAAGTTGTCTTGGGTTACCGTTTCACCGCTCGTATCAATTACTTTCGGTTTCCTCTGGGTAGTTTTCTTCATTTGCGAGATGTATTTCCAAAAGCGTATGGATTTTTCGTTTCTCGGCGCCCTAAGAATGTGATCACTCAGACGAGCGTATCGTTTCTCTTCTTCGCGTTCTACCACTTGCCGCACTGTCTCTTGGGCTAGACGGTATTCACGTTCTGCCCTTTCCGTGTCTATATTCTCCCGTCGCGCTCGTCGCCACACTCTGTTGGCTGTTTTCCGCATTTTCACCGCCCGCCTGATTGCGGCCGTCTCATAGCGTTGCCCATCCGGGATCGTCACTTTTCTTGTTGCCCTCTCTATGCCTATGTCTAATGCCGTCTTTGAGAGTTGAGTATCTCGAGTCAGTATCGCTCCCTGTCTTTGTTCTCAGTTCCCGGGTCGTAAGTTTAGCTAGTCTTTTTTAGGGTTAATCTCGTGAAGATCTTTCTCTGACTATTTCTGGTGTCCGTCATCGGGCCTCTACATGTCATTTTGAGGAGGTTATGATCACTCAATCGTGTCACCTCTCGATCTTCGTCGATAACCATTTCCAGAGTCTCTCCGTAGACTTTCTGGTTGCATAGAAAGTAATCGATCGTCGCTTTTCCTCTCGTGTACTGTCCCTTACAGATATCTGTAGCGTTCAGTACTATCAACCCATGGAGTTGTACGAATTCGAGGAGTAGATTCCCTCTTGTATTGTTTGTCTCCGTAAAAAGACACGTATGTGCGTTGAAGTCTCCCCCGATCACAAGGCCCTTCCCCATGCATTTGCTAGATATGAAGGACGATACTGACCTGAAGAGTTTCCGATTCGTGTTAATTGATGAGTGTTCGCAGTATATAGATATGACGACCCATTCATCTTCTCCTCTGTTTATAGTTGTCGCCGTCCAGTCTTGTCCCTTCTCTGTCCACGAGACGTCTATGCGGGTCGATGTCAGACATCCTACACCCCCACTTTGCTTGTCTTCCGGACGGTCCTCTTCGGTTGCTGCCGTTCCACGTGTATCCGTGGATTCTCGGCGGCTTTTCCTCGTTCATAAGTCGTGTTTCGCATACTAGGACCATGTCGACATTATTGCCCAACACATCTATTTCTAGCTGCGACCATTTTGACCTCTTCATTCTTGCCCCATTAAGATTGATGGCGGCAATCGTGATTGTGGACTGTTTTTGCGTGATATCACGCCTAGTCCGACGCTTTCTGGGACGACTGGATTTCTTCTCAAACACGATTTCCTCCCCTGTCCTCATACGAAGGCGATCGCCTATATCGGCTTGTCATCACCTTGTATTCTGCGGGTGGTGGCGGTCGTTGTTGTGTTGGTTTCCGCCTCTCGTTTTGCTGTGATGGTTCTCGAGGGCGGTATTCCTGAGGGCTCCTCGAGCGGTCGTGTCCCCTCCTCGGTGTATCCCGATCCTGAGGACGACCGCGGCCCTGGTTCTTCGCTCCTCTTTGTTTCCTCCAGATTGCGGCGCGGGACCTTGATCGAGACCGAGATCGTTCGTTCGTCGAACGAGCGCCCGATTGGGGTCTGTCGCTTCGGCCTCGTCTGTCGTTTCGGTTCCAGGGCTCTTGCCTGGCAGATACCTGCCCAGAGCCCCTTGCGGTTCCTCCACTCCAGCTCTGGCCTGAGTGGCTCCCTGATTTCCTTTTTCCATCAGTATATCTGTGGTCAGGTCCTCGGTTGCCTCTCTCCGCACTGTCGTTCCTGTGGGATGGACCTGGTTGAGGGCTCTGTCTACCAGAGTTCAACTCCTGGACCTTCTGGAAATATTTTTCCTCGGTCCTGGTCCCTTGTTCTTTAGTGGGTATTCCCACTTGCCGTTGTTGCAGCTTCTCTTCCTGCTGCTTCTTCTTCTCGGCCTGCCTCTTTTCGAGGTCTTCCCGGGCTTGGCGAGCTCGAGTCGTGAGCGTCTCTGCGCCAATGCCCATGGCTTGAACGAGCAATGATATAATTGCCTCGTTCGTTCTCTTAGCGCCTGAGGAACTCAGGGCATATGTCCGATCTTTGTCACTTAATTGACCCTTTCGGAAGAAATTTTCTGGGGCCTCGTTAAGGTATCTCAAGTCCAGGATACCGACGTTAGCGTCGCGTAATCTCTGACTTTCGATCAGGGATTTATTAATGCTAGGGGTAACGCCACAGAATCTATCTTCTATCATCGTTACCCATGTCAGGGATCGAATTGCTGGGGACCCCATTCGAGTCGCCACCAGCTCCTCTGCGATCTTATGATCGACCCTTAATACCGTCCCATTTAGCTGGGCTTCCTTTGTATCTTGTGCTCCCCCAATGAGCACGATGTGGAATTTGTTATCAGGGTATTTGGCGATAATACCCTCAACGGCTGATCTAATTTCTTCTAGTCTACCGTTTTTGCTCTCGTGCCACACACAGTATTGTGTGCCGCCGAGCATCGTCACGAGACCCTCTCCCTTGGGAGGGTGTCGGAGGATGTTGATCGACCTGTCACCGGCGACCAAAACACCTCCTCCTCGTGGCTTCGCCGCGTCGCTGTATCGCGTTCTGGCGCGCTCTTTTGAATGGAGCCTTCATGGCTCGTGCTAGGACCGGCTCTATCGGCCCAGTCCTGGCTCGTCTCCATGGTATCATCGGTTAGGACTATGTTCTCGTACTGTCGTACTTCTAACCGCAATTTGGCGAGTTTTTCCGCCATCGCAGGTATATCCCGCGGTACCTGAGCCAGCTGTTGCTCGAGGTGTGTTATTCTACGAATTAGTGTAGATATAGCACAACAATGGGGACCCGGCCCCGCATTCGACATAAGTCGAAGCATCTCACCATTGCAGTTGCTGCAGAGATGAATCCGTTTCCCGTTTTTATCAACGGCGAAAGTCGGTTTGTTTGATTCTGCCATCGTGCACGGTATACAGACACTAAAGTTCTCTTCGTGCTAAGTTCAGACAACCAAAATTATCACTTCACTGTGTCTATCTGATTGCTGGGTTCCGGGTATCCGGGTACGTTAGTGTTTATTCACTATTTCACGCACAAATTAGTTTTAAATTCACTTTTACTCGCAGTGATAGCGGCACACTTCCACCCCGTCTGCTCGCTAGCAGACGAACTGGTATCTCTTCCATTTTCTCCTGCCAGATTTGTGGCGCATTCACGAAGCAGAACGGCATTCTCTTGAACTGAGAAAGGCCGTCCGGCGTGTTTATCACGAAGTATTTTCGGTGCTCCGGATGTACATATAAGTAAGTGGAGGAAAGCATTCGATATGTCAATTTTCGAGAATATCTTCCGGATACTTGGCCAGAGTCTTCGACGGTGTGATATCCGCATGATTCACTCTTATCGAGTCTAGGCCGAACGCTCTCATCCGGTCGCGCCCGAACAAGATTGGAAAATTCGGCTCGCTGACCAGATAGAGCCGTTGTTCTCTGACCACGCCCGATAGAGTGACGTCGACTTGCACGAATGAATGCGGTATTACTTCCTGACCGTTTGCCATCATTAGAGTTACGTCAGTCGGGTAATGCTTCATCTTCGGATTGACCCGTACGAATCTACCGTGAGGCATCAAGGAATTCCACAGCCTGAGTCTAGTTCCATGGTTGCGGTGCCGCCCCCGATCTCTACCTCCATTTTAATCGGTGGAACGTCCGGTCTCTGCGTTGTGATTGCGTAGGCTCTCTTGGTCACGGTACGGATTCTCCCGCTGTAGCACGGTTTAGTGGTGATGTTTTCTGCGTTTTGACATACTCGCTCGAGATGACCCTGGATTTTGCACTTTCGGCATTCTGTGTCCTTGAATCTGCACGTATCTGCCTTATGATTCGCAAGACCACATCTGTAGCAATGCCCTTCGTTGAAGAACCCGTTCTTCTTGTATGAAGTGTTCTTCAGAATCCCGCTTGTTTCAGGTGATGCATTTTTCCAGGACCTGGTGTCGTTCTTCGCGGACCTCTCGAACGTCTTGAAAACTTCCAATCTGAATTTCCGTTCAGACACAGTTTCTCCTTCTTTGACAGCATCGTCCGAAGTCTTGAAATTAGCAGCTTTCTTGAGAACGTATTCTCGGATGTGGCTGTCTCGTAAGTCTCGGAGAAACTGTTCGATTAGGTTATCGAACAGCGAACCATCTTGTTTCCAATCACAGAATTCGGCATCTCTTCGTAGTCTTCTGCCGAACTCCTGCAAGGTTTCTCCTTCCGATTGCGCCACTTCTCGGAATCCCATACGCCTGACCCACCTCGATTTTCCTCAGTTGTAGATGACTTCTAAGGTGTCGATGAGGTTCACGTAGGTCAGGGTTTCCGGTTTGGCTGGGCTTACATGATCCTTCAATTTGTTGTATGGCGTCGGCGATAGATGAACTAGCAGGCACAGTGCTCGTTTTTCCGTAGTATAGTCGTTGAGGTTCAGAAAGTTCTCGAACCGACTCGACTTTTGAACGATAACCACGATTCATCTTCTTCGACAAATTTGTCGAACACGGGCAGCTTCTCAGTCATTTTGACACGGTCCTCGTCGCCACTAGGTAATATGATTCTGTATCGAATTTCGTACTGGGTTCGGGTGAATGAAAAGACTGAGATTTTCCCTTCGTTGAAGAACTGCCACGAGGGCTGTATTTCGTCGACTTAATGAATTGGCGCTGAATCGTACGACTCGCTCTTACGTCCATGTGCATCAAAACACAACAAAAAATGCTAGCAGAGGGGCCCTTGAGAGAGAGTTCTTTAATTTTTCGAACGATCTCTGATGCTGCTCGAACCACACGAACTCGACATTGTCCTCGAGGAGCATTCGAAGAGGCGCCGCTATTTCGGAATATCCCGGTATGAATTTGGACAGATAGTTTGTCGATCCCAGGAAACGAAGTAGTGCTTTCTCGTCCTTCGGCGGTTCCGTCTTTCTTATTATCTCGATTTTCTGTGGGTCCCCCCGGAGGCCTTCTCTCGACAATATGTGTCCCATTTATTTCACTTTAGGGACTCCGAGGCGGAGCTTACTGCGATTGAGCTTCAGGTTTTTCTCTCGGCAGCGTTTGAAGAATTCTTCCAGATTATTCCGGTGTTCCGCGAAGTTTTCTCCATGTATGAGTATGTCGTCGGCGATAACCTCGACGCCCTTTAGATATTCGAGAGCCTCCATTTGCTTGGCTTGATAGATTCCGGGTGATATGCTTAGCCCTTGGGCAGTGGCGTAGCCAGGATTTTTTTTGGGGGGGCGGAATTTTTTTCCAACTTGTGGGTAGGCTCACAGAATCATCGGATATCCGTCTCATATCGATGGAAAAGTCATGATTCGCTAGCAGCAATCGATTTTATTACAAAAAAAATAGAAAGAGCAGGAAAACGTTAAATTTAAAATGCCGAGAGGTCTACCTCCGTCACCGCAAAGAGGTAAAGTAGAACAAAGGGAAGGCACAAAACAATCTACTGACAACGGAAGGTGACTACACTGGCTGGTAGGCCTTCTCGACTCACAACATTAAGTTCATTCGGCGCTTTTGCTTGCTGGCGAATCTGTCGATTATGGATTCTATGTCCCACTCATCGTCTCGATGGATGTTCATAAGAGCGATGCCCGTCAATCTTTCCTCCGTCATCGTTGTCCTCAAATAAGTCTTCAGTCGTCGAAGAGTAGAAAAAGAGCGTTCCGCTGAGGCTACACTTGCAGGCATGACCGCAAATGCTTTCAGGAAGAGGTGTACAAGAGGGAAAATGTCAGCGTCTGCCGCATCCAGGGACTCCAATATATCAGTCAGTCGTTTCTCCTCCCTCTTCCACTTCTGCTGTCACAGCATGACTTCATTAGTGAAACGAGTCTCCACGGCAGTGCCGTCGGTTACGAGCGAATGATATTTGGAGAGCAACGTTTCAACTATGGATTTGACCTCGGGCATACTCAAGTTGACTACCTTAATTGGCATCAATAGATCCATTGTTTTCGTGATATGGGTAGCTTCAACCGTGAAGCGATTATCGAGATCTTGTATGATCTCATCCATCAGCGGAATATACACGGAAACTCGATAGTGTTGTTCTATGGAGGAAGTTTCGTGATTCGACCTGTGGAGTTGAATAGCTGCGATCCGAGGCTTGGTCGGAGGTATCTGCAGCTCCGAAGCCTTTTCACAAGTCCTAGCGAATGTGTCAGCGAAACTATTTTCGGCATTCTCTCGTTCCGCTTTGAGAACGGCAATCGTGTCTTTGATCAGTCCATTTGCACGCGAAATATCCATCCGCCGATTCTGCAAGGCTGTCGAGAGCGGCAGGGTAGTTGAGAAAATTTTCTTGAGAATGTCCAGAGTGACTAAGAACTCGAACTTCCTCAATCCAAGTAGCAGCAAGTACGCTTTCGAGGCAGAACCTTCGTCTCGCCAGAGCTGAATCTCCTCCAGTGCTTCCACGATTCGCGGTAGTTTATCCGCGAATTCCGATATGGCTCTATACTTCTCGACCCATCGAGTCTGACACAGAGCCTTCAACTGGCCTCCGATCAATCGGACCGAGACTCGATTTCGTTTTGCAGACTGGTTGAAGAATGAGACAACTTCTCTCATCACACTCATAGTGTTCCTGGCTTCCTGTGATTTTGAACACAACTGCAGTGAAAGATTCAGATCGTGATTGTAGCAATGACAATGCTCAGCATTCGTGGCGACCTCTCTGATCGTGTTCACGGCACCTTTGGATTTCGATATCATGATAGAACATCCATCAGTTCCGATGCCGATGCAGGACTGAGGATTCAGCCCATGCAGCCTCATTTTCGCAATCACAAGTGATCCCAGCCTCCTCCCGGTCACGGCGTTCTCCTTCTCAGAGGGAGAGCTGGACTCGGCATTCTCTGCTGCGATGGCACCGTAGGTGTCTAAGAAATCGAAGAAATCCTCCCGAACCACATTGCGCCCAGTGCTCGCATCGATGAAGCGAACGACGAAACTCATGACGTTCGTGTGAGACAAGTCGGTGGTTTCGTCGAACATTATACTATATACACCACTTGACCCTAACTTTCGCAAGATGCCGTCCTGGATCTGCTCGGCGATGCACTGGATCAACTCGTTCTGCACAGAGCTGCTGGTATACAGTGCGTTTGAGGCAGAAGATTCGAGGTGAAGCTTCAAAGTCGAGTCCCCGCTATCGATCATCAACCTCAAGGTCTCTCTGAAGGTCCCTTCATTTTTCGCATGCGACTCCGCCGAACGAGAGAGGAGCTCGACTCTTCCGCTGTCCCGGTGACCTCTTAGAGGAACGTTCTGTTTTCCGTGGTACATGATGGCTGTCAGCATCCGTGCTAATCGAGCTCTGTTTTCCAGCACTTGTTTTCGTCGATTCGAGTCCAGTATGAGGTCAATGCGATTCGCTGAATTTTCGTAGGAATTGATGAACAATTTGGCTTTCTCCATTGCTGCAATGTGGTAGTAAGCATCCGAGTGGGTTTTCAGCGAACCGTCCTTTCCGAGGAGTTTGGCGAAAGTTGTCAAAGGTCTCTCCACTAGCTTGTCGAGCTGAACTCTTTTCTGGTTGGCAACAAGCTCTGTGGCGAAATATGGACAGTACAAGCAGTACAATCCTCCATGTTCGGCCGAAAATACAGCCCACGGAAAGGTCTGAAGATACACTTCCTTCAGATATCGTTTTTCGACCCTGCCGCCTTTCGTATGCTCAGAAAAAGGAAGTCGGTAGTCAGAGGGCGGCTCCCAATGATTCGTGAGCAGCTGATGAAGGATATGATCATCCGGACGCTTGCCTTCTGCTTTGGAAATATGGTAGCCAATGTCGTTGATGAGTACACAAGGCGAACCGACGGCGCCGGCGTTTTCACCGTTGACTGTCTCGTCTGGAACTCGATTTTCTTCCGGCGGATTCTCTTCGACTTCGATCACGGGGTTCTCGGTCAGGCTTCGCCTTCTCTTATAGGCGAACCTCTCAAGGGTTGACTGCAGGCGCTTCCTCGACATAAGGCTGGCTTCACGGTTCACGGCTTTTCGAACACTGCGGCGCTTTCCTCTACTCAAGCAGCACGAAACCAAAATCGGCACGTTTAGCACGTGCAAGTTTGGCTGTGATGAACAGCGATGTGCTTTATTGTAGAAAAATATCGTCAGAGCTTTCAGGGCGATGTTGGTCATGCGCAGACCCAACAGGCAGCGACAGTGATGTCACGCGGCGAAGGGCTCAGGAATACCCAGATCATGGAAGTAGACACGGAAATCTAGATGAAGGAAATAGACAGGCGTCTTTCCGACACTCTCCGGAAGAAATTACGGGGGGGGGG